GTCATGGTACGGAGCAAAATGAAATTACATTTGAGATGCCTATTCAAGAAGACACACGTAAAAATTAAATTAAAATAAGAATTGTGAGAAAAAAGTCTGAATTTCTAAATCAAATTCAACATTTTAGAAATCTAGAATTAAAAAAAGTGATTTGAAATGGAAATTTTTGTCTTGTGATTAAGAGTTCTGAAAGAATTCAGAATTTAGTCAGATTTCTTGAAATATAAAAAGAAAAACACTCAGACTTGTAAATCTGTTTAATTTTTCTCTCATCATTCTGACAGACTGTGGGAATGCAATGGGCGAAGGTAGATTTTCTTGCTATTTTGATTAGATTATAGTCTCTGTGCAGCTGCAGATTTACTGACTTCAGTTTAGGTGCAAGAAATGTGAAACAATGTTGGAAGAGTTTGTAGCAAAATGAGCCATAATATGGAATTTGTCAAAATGAGAATTCAGTGGCCTATTTGAAGGAATTTCCCAGCAGCAACCAGCAGGAAAATGGTAAAAATCCAGACAGAGTTGTGGTAGTTTTTATTTTATGACCTCTACCTGGCCCTCAAACCACACTTTGGGAAACCCTCATTTGAACCCACATCACACAGCCTTAGTGGTGGTCCTTGACCCGGTCTGCACCACCACCCAGAGRCCAGTGATAAACCCCAGGCTGCCAGTCAACTTGCTGTGTGTGAGTGTTGGTATTTATGCCAGACTGCAGCTCGCTGACTGAAATCTTCCCCCAGTCACAGCAGATTATCGGACCGAACCACTGCCGCAGTTCAGGTTTTAGCACCTGTCACGTGACGCTTCACATTTTTAAGCGAAGCGCCCCGCTTACCGCCGCAGCCAATCGTCCACTGCACGGCGGATGTAGCTCGGCCGCTGCTGTCCAGCAGGCTCTGCCTCCGCGCGGCTCTCATTGGACCGAGCCGCCAAACAGCGCCGACCCCTCCACCACCACCACCATTGTACAACTGGCAGCATCACCCACCGCCTGCAATGGCGTTGGAGCGACTCTACTATGTCTGAGCGCCTCCGAAGTGGCCATTCTGTCCGGGACTATTTGACAAGCAGGACACAGAGATGTTTTTATGGATGATTTTTTTTTTTCAAAGGCAGCTGCGTCCATATTCGTTTCAAGTTTATGGTTTATTGATCCTGTCGCGCGCTCAGCGGAGCTGGAGAGAGATATAATGAATGTAAGTCTATTGTTTTTCAAGCAGTGAAGCCACATTTGGTTATTTGGATATCTGTCGGATAACAGTTAACTTCGTTTCATTGGAAACATTATGCGTTTTCTGGGTAGAAGTGAACGGATAAACAAAATGTAAATAAATACATGTTCGTTTTCAGGAGGAGGTGGGGGGAACCTGAGCTGTCATCATCATGTTCTGTGCGGTGTGGCTGATGTTTTTCTCATTCAGCTGTACTTTTATCATCCTGCCATCATTCCTGACTACTCTCATCAAAAGTATTATTATTATTATTATTATTATTATTATTATTATTATTATTATTTACTCAAGTCCATATTCTACATCATGGGTGACCTGCCAGAGTCCAGCAGGGTGGGTTATGAAAACTGAAGCAGGAAATAGGTTTCAGTCACATCATCCAGGTTGGAGGTTAAAGAGCAGCGTAATGGATCCTTTATGTCCCAGATGATTTTTTGTTTTCCTTTTTGTGTTGTGTCATCTCTCTCTCTCTCTCTCTCTCTCTCTCTCTCTCTCTCTCTCTCTCTCTCTTCTCTCTGCCTTTGCGTGGTGTGCATTTCCAATTAAATATTAATGGGATATGGAATATTTAACATGGGGCTTCCATCCTTTTTGTGTTTTTAGCCGTGTGCTGAGAGAAACAATCGCCTGTACCATGGCGTCCAACAACAGTACAGGTTTTTATTTCAATATGTGGCCATGACTGAAGGCTGATATTTACTGGTGAACACTATAATCTCAGTGATGGTTTGAGGAGCTGAGACAGTTTCTCGCAGAAAACTGTGTGTCCAAAACAGGCATTTTTTTTTTCCATTTTATGCACGATATTCCAGCCTTTTTCACTTGCGTCTCCTGGAATTATTGATTTGTTTATGTTGTGCATTAGTGGAGTGGATAAGCTTTGTGCAATAGCATCTGTTATTCATTTGGCCACTGAAGAGTGCTGGTAATGACGTGAGTGATCTCTTTCCAAGCTGTTCAGACACAAGGTCTCCCTTTGCTAATTAACATTGTTTTGATTTAAAAGTTAGTTGGCCRCTAATATTTTAGGCAAGAAATTTAAACCCAAAGATGTTCCTTGTGTTTTATTGATGTTAGAGAACCACTACGAGTCTAAAAAGGCTGTGCTGATTTAATGAATGGTCATTAGGATCAGATGAGTGTATGAAGACTTCTTACATCTTTTATTGTCCCTGCAGGTGTGACTGAAGGATTGGAGTAGGCCCAACCAGGCGTCTTAGTCCCACGTTCTAATGAGGTCCCAGCGATGCTGACATCCCCTCTAAATCCAAAGACGTCATCATGCTGAAGACGGAGGCCTCGGGGGAGAGGACTAGCCTCCGGAGTGCCTCCCCCCACCGTAATGCCTACCGGGCTGAATTTCAGGCGCTCAAGAGGGCTTTTGACCAGCCTCGGACTGATGGAGACTCAAAGCCCAAAGACACTGAGCGGGTGAAACAGCCCAGGGGACGCCAGTATGGGGCCCATGTCAGTCGCATTAAGGACATGTTCATGCAGATGGGCTCGAAAAATGCGGCAGTCAAGACGAGTGGTCATGATGAGTGTTCACCTCAGAAGCTGGTGAAGCCCACCAACTTCATCAACAAGGCCGATGGCTCAGTCATAAAGCTCCAACATTCTTCATCAGCTGAGAGGATTGGAGGCGCCGGGGCAAAGTTCTCAGAGACCAGGAAACTATTTGAGCAGCAGTCACGGGACCAGTCTCAGTCACCAGTCTTTCCTTACGGACGTGACAAACGGGGTTCTCATGAGCACCTCGATGACTGGCGAGGGGCGAGGTCCAACAGAGGCAGCACAGACTCTTTGGACTCCCTGTGCTCCAGAACAGAAGCATCCTCGCCAACTGTCAGTCAGCTCAGTGCTGTTTTTGAAAACGCTGACCACCACAATCAGGGCGCTCCCTATAAAGGAGTCACCAGACGAGCCCTCTACTCTCCTGATGGATCCTCCCGACAGGGAGGGGATCTCAGTGAGGATGAGTCGCGACAATCGCCAGTTCGTGGAACCTACCGAAACAAGACAGGAGGCAAGTTTCCTGCATCTTCGTCCTCTGAGGACCTCTTGAGCCCGAGTCCTGGGGCAGAGATTTCAGAGCCCCAAAAAGAAGCTCCACACGATGGAAAGGTTCACAWTGAAGATGAGGAGGTATCCAGACAGCATTTGTCTGGGGTCACCACCAATGAAAGTCAGGTTAATGGCTCCTGTGAAGAAGAAGATGAGAAACACTCAGACCACCTAAAACATACAGAGGATCTAGAAGTTACCAAAGACTCAAAACATACACATGGTGCTGCAATTACCAACAAAAGTATTGATGATGCTAATCACGAGTCCTCAACAACCCCACAACCCGGGGAAAGCAACGATGACACGGACGCTCCAAAGTTCTCAGAGTCTTCCAAGGACCAGACCGAAGACCTGGAGGACGAGTACACTAGAAACGAGCGAGTGATTTTTAACGCAGACGGGGACGCCTGTTACCAGGGTTGGGGGGAGAGCTGCACAGATCCTGAAGACGACCTCTACGGTGATGACGAGGATATTGTCTATGATCCAGGCTCAGATCTGACTGAGATTCCAGGTCTACCAGAGGAAAACAAGGATGACATCCCCCCAAAAAGGAAGATACGCTTTAGCACCTCTCCCATTACAGTAAGCTGGATGCTGTAGAAGCCTAAAATGTGTAAACACACTCAACCCAACATTAAATCTTCTTCAGAATTGTGTTTTTATGGGCTACTTTTATCCCTAGTGTTGTTGTCAAAACACTTATTTTTGTAGGATTATAAAAAACGATCCACTCACAGTAATTAGACCTCAATTGTGTTTTATTCTCCACGTCCCTTCTTTAATCTGTCAGTGTTGCCGCGGATGAAGCATTGCTCTCTGGGATTTTGACGTGTTTGTGAACACAACTGTGCATGTGTTAGTCATGCTGGTTCACCGCCCACGCAGTTTTCACACAAGATGCTGCATTTGTGCTTTCTCAAGCAGCGCCTTGTTGGTTTCATCAGAGCACCATTTGATCGATAGAGTTTGCACATCACTGTGGCAGAGTCTTCACAAGTCTCTGTATATTGTATGTTGGAACTATAGTGCATGCTTGGTGAATTACACTGAAAAGTAACAGTGGACTTTTCAGAAAGCTGGTGGAACAAAATAGTTTGTGTTGATTTTGGTCTGGTTGTGTTTCGATGCTGTACTCGGTGCTAGGTTGGACACAATGCAGCCATTTGTTGTTGGTCGGAGAGATGGATTTGGAAGATTACGGGGAAAATATTTTGCAGTCTTTATCCCCGAGCACTCAACTTAACATTTGTAGCAAACACAATATTTACAGTTATTTTCCTTTCAATTTTTATATTCAGTATGTTAGCGAAACCTAATTTCTATGCATATTCCAGACCCTTGTTTGGTGTTTATGCTGTTTTAAATGGGAAACACACTTTTGATTGAGGAATTTAGGTTAATGTATGAAACATCTACTGGACTGAACAGAAACAACTAACAGCCTTTTGAATCAACTCCATTGACATCATATAGTGAACCAGAACAATTAGCCCAGTTATTCTGAGGAGAAATCTTGATGTTCACTAACTAATTACCTTGCACTGTCTCCGCAAAGTGTGTCATTTTGCTCTTTTGTCTTCTCCCCTTGAGGAATCAACTCGTGCATGTGAATGCACTAAAATTCAAATTTGTTTCAACAAAAAGTTGTCTCTGAAGCAACCCATGCTTTTTATAGCTCAGATCTATTCGCAAATTACTTTATCATAATGTCAAACTTGTTAAATATTATCCCTAATTTATTTAGTTGAAAAATGTATTTTTTTTTTTAATTTTTAACTTTTAAATATAAACACTACAAATCTTGTTGCCCTATTTAGGCACAAATATAAATATGTTTTAAGGCTTCTGCTTTTCAATGAAAAGGACTATAGCTCATTCATCCTACTGAATATTCAAGAGGTTAACTGCCACCCCCCTACCCCTCCAGTCCCTGCACCCCCTACACACATGCTCACAACCAATTAGACATGCCCCCTCCTCCCCTCTCTGCACACAAGGAACAAACAGGGTTCTGTCTTTTGTTTGGCCGTATAGTGAAAGACACAAAGCTATTTTCTCAGCAAGAGTCCGGTTTGACCCCAATGGGAGGAAAACTGGCAGGTTCTGAAAAGTCCTTCTCTTGTAATACTTAACATTTCTTTCAGTTGTTTTAAAAGAAATAAATACTAGGTATTTTGGAGAATTGGCATGAACACATAATTAAAAAGCAGATTTTCTTGATTGGCAGCAAGTTTAAAAATCCAGTTTTTGGCAATAGGGGAAAAATATCACAACACTGATAGGAGGTTTAACTATAAAAGTAGTTTTAAATGTGCAATTTTTCCTCAGAGAAAATCTGTATGAATTTCCCAGATTCAAATCGACATTGACTCCAAATATTGAAGTTGGTTTATCACCAATTTTTTTTAATCTGCACAGCGTTTCAATCAGCCTCAGCTTGTGTCTAAAGCCCTAAAGTTTACATGTCAGTGTTAAGATGAACATGGTTAATATTATATCTGCTAAACATCTGAATATTTACAACATGTAGGATAAAGTTGGCCGGGCTGTAAACCAAAGATTGAACCTCCATTACTGACCCACTAAGAAGGGACCAGATGTGGGTTGTCTGCCTTCCAGTGGACAGAAACCAACAGAGAATCAGGTCTCATGTTAATTGAAACTGTACACTTCATCCTTTACATCCATTCACTTGTTCAGTCCGCGGCCAACAGATTAAAGTTGACGCATTAAAGCAGATTCACATTTTTGATGTGCTGCTGTCAAAGTGTGCACTGTTTAGCTTCAAGGATGTGTTTCATCAGATTTGTTCATAACACTTTCATTTAGTGTTAATCATATTAAATTGTTAGATTGTTTTATAATTTCTTACCAAATTGGTCGTTTTTGTCCTTCACGTCCCAGGAGACAGACTTTTATTTATTTATTTTTTGGCTCCCTGATGAGTCAGTCTTCTCCAATTTAACTCCTCTTTTCATAAATGGTATCTCCTCTATTAAATACTTTTCTGTCTGTAGAGAAACTGTTTTCATTAGTTGAGTTACTGGAATATCTTGAAATAATTCAGCAGCTGTGCTGAGTGGCTCACCAGTTGTAGTGCCTCTTGATTTGGTTCTTCCTCTTTAGCATGCTGTTTGTTTTGAGATCACAGACACTGACACTCTATCTCCATCTTCTGCTGCTTATTTGTAGTTGGGTTGCAGAGGCAACATGTCTCGGAAAGAAACCCAGACATCCCCCTCCTCAGCAACACAGGTCTTGGGGGATCCCAAGGTGTTCCTAGGCCCGAGAAGATGTATAATCCCTCCAGTGAGTTCTGGGTTTGCCCCGGGGCCTCTTCCCAGTGGGACATGCCTGGAAAACCTCCAAGGAGAGGCGTCTAGGAGGCATCCTAATCAGACGACAGGACCACCTCAATGGACTTATTTTGATGCAAAAGAGCAGCAGCTGTACTCTGAGCTCATTTTGATTGCTTGAATCTAGGATCTTATTCATTTGGTCATGATTCATWCCTTATGACCACAAGTGAGAGTTTGAATCTAGAGGGACCAGTAAATTGAAAACCTTGTATTTCCACTAAACTCCTTTTTCACCACAACCTACCAAAGCAACACACTCATTGAAGACGAGACCCCAGTTCCTTAATTCATCTTCCACTCCATCCCTCCATCATTCATAAACAGGACAGCCTAGAGACTTGAACTCTGATGCTGTGTCTGCTATATTTTGTTGCTGTACCATGAGTGGTTCAGAGGTCCATGCMATGGTTGGTATAAAATATTGTTAGGTTTCCTATTTGTTGCAAAAGTTTTTTTGTTCCAGCCGTGTTTTCATGACAAGAGATAGTGTTGTCTCCTTAAAACATGTGAAGTATAAACATCTCAGTACAAAACTGCTACTAAAATAAACAGACAAAATCCCAACTTACATCCACTTGTGCCATTCCTCAGACTTGCCAGGCATTAAGAGACACTTAATTTGCCTGAGGATTTGGGAACTCATTTATCTGCCTTTAGCTCAGAGTATATGCTTCAATCTCCCAGTAAAAGAAAAGGGGGCTGGGGGAGACCTTCTGCCCCACTTTTTATCCTGTTAACGACAGTTTGTCCAACAATTTCATCATGTACATGGATCAGCAGTAAACATGAGGGGATTCTAAAACATTCTTATCTGGAGCATGACCTAAAYCAGTCCTGTAAGTCCAGCTCAGATTAGGTGGCCTGTTGCCAGCAATGATTCTTACTCTGTTTTCTGATGGAAAGGATTATTTCATTTTATGACAGACTGTCTTTCCCAGTGAGGATATAGAGGATGGGCAACAGTATTACAATACCTGAATAATGCACTTCCAACAGTGACGTTACAATATTTCTGATGGATCATTTGTGTAATGCAAAACCAAAAGAGGTGTAAAAGTTTATAACAGACAATTTGTATAAGCCACTGACATTTTTAAGGTTAGATTGAAGATGGTATAAATTATCACCTGTCTTTGGTTTTTCTTCCTTGAGGTGGGTAAATTTGGACATCATATTCTTTACTTCAAGCTCTCTGGAAGGTTACGTTAAAAAGAGCCAGGTGTTGTTGCAACACCAAAGTCAATAATAGTGGTGTTTCTTCAAAAGCTCTTTCGTGGAGGCTAAATGAAATATCGTGTCCATGGACATGTTCTACAATACGTCAGGAAAACCTTTTCTGTTATTACTTAAATGTTTTCTCCTGAAGGTCAGCACAAACAATCCACAGTGGAAGAAAATCATTTTTGTGTCCATTGTTTTTTGTGTTAAGTCATGCTGGCAGCAGTGAAGTAAATCTATTGACCCCAAGAATTTTCCCCTCCTCTTTTATCTGTGACTCAGATCTAGTTTTGGGTGAATTAGTGTATTGCTTTGTGGTGTATGTGTGTGTGTTAGCCAGTGTATTATTGATGCTGTTGTGTTTTTGTTGTCTTGCTTTGGCGACACACAATCCTCCCTGGGGGGCATGCATTTTTAATAATTTGGGAAAGACGAGACGTGCCCTGTGGTTTTTTGGAGCTGGTCAGTTGCCGCACAGCAGTCTGTGTCACGAACTATCATCTGCAGCATCCATCTACCCAGCCTGATGCACGTGATCTTACCACAGTTGGTTGTTTTTGCTCTGAAGAACTGCACAAAACAGCATGTCAGGCTGCTGCTAACACCTCCGTGCTCTTGTTTAAAATGAGTCAGAAAGAAAACAGAGGCTATGTTTCAAACAGACTTCTTGTGCTTTGTTGAAACTCTGTCCAATCAAGTCAGTTCCACACAAGCGGGCATGTTCTGTAACATGTTGGATTACTCATCATCCTCTCATCCCATTTATTGTATATGCTCTCTATCCCTTCGCACCCTTAGTTTTTCAGTAGCTTCTATAATAGTCTTGTACCATGAACCTAACCCTAATGAGAAAAAACATGTCTCAATTAAATAAATGCCAATCCTTTCTCGAAGGAATGCATATCATATTGTTGCGTTTCAGGCTAAGGTTATTGAACGTTGGGAAATGATGGTGCAACCATTCTAGTGATTCTTAAAGGATGGTATTATGCACAACAGACATTT